ATTTCTCATTTACAGGCTGGGGTTCACAGGGTCCAGTGTCTTCTGTGAGTGACCCTAGATTTGGCCAAGCCTGGAGGACAGAAAAGGTCACCATGCAAAAGCTACGTGCGTGGAATACATCCACCTGGCAAGGGCTCTGCAGCTTTTAATTAACAAGCAACGGATGTTTCTCGTTAATAACAAATCAGAAGGCTGACCAGTCGGTGTTCTGCAAGGCCATTTTCAGAAAGTGCACCCAGCACACCCCACCGTTCTGTGATAATTTTCCCCAGGATTATGGGGAGGAGACTTGCTGACTGAAGACATAGTTCATCCATACTGCTGAGAGAGCAGGAATCTCAGAATCAAACGACATTTTCTTCTGCAGGAAAATGGGGCAGAGTGGAAAAGGGAGATGGAATAACGCTACCAGAAAAGCTTCTCACTCTTCTTCCCTTGGCAGCCCGGCCATGATTATAGTCCCAACACATCTGGAGGGTACCACATTGGCTAACCCTGACTTGAGGCATATCCAGATCAAATTCTTTCATTTGAATGCTAGTTTAATGAAATGTGGTGAAGGTTTAATTGTAATATGGTGAAGGTGCTAAAAAGAGACACTAATGCTTCCTCCTTGAAATATGGTTCCCGGATTTCCTAGGGAGCGAAATGCTTATTAATTCAGTTTAGATGTATACTTTAGACAGTTTAGATGTGTTGGAAGCCAGGATCTGTAATATTCACGATGCTGCTGCAGTCCCTCTCTTCTGCCAGTTCTTCATCCCTCCTCTAAACAGTTGCTTCTCAATCTCCCAAATTGCTCATGTTTTTCTCCAGAACTCACAGGTGTGTTCCTTTCCGATGGCCTCAACAATTCAAAATGGGAATTTTTTTGAGAATAATGCAGAACTGAAAGCTGTCATTGGAGGGTTCAGCCTGGGTTGGCGGAAGAGAGGTTATTGCAGCCTTGTGCTTGTGGGGAGTATTTTCCAGTACCTCTTGCTGAGTTCACAAGTAAACTCCTCTTCGGAAGGATATAGATAACCAAGAAGTCAGGGTCTAAGATTACCAGCTATATAAAGGAGGTGGTTGCGTAATATGTGGAAGGGAAATGAGTCCTAGCTGAAGCACATGGCTTCAATATGATTTAACCTGTGCAAGATGTATATAGGGAATTAGAATTATTATTTTTTAGTTTTACAATATATATGCAAAGTATATATGCAAATAATAACTTTTCAGAAAGGTAGCAGGTAGAAAATAGATTACACAATGTTTAGCACAGTACTTATTGACAAACTCATCCATATGATTCAATTTTGTTCCGCTACAACAATAAGAGTCTCTAACAGTCCATAAGTGTGTGTGGTTTCCACCCCCAATGAGAATTTATAATGAGAAATTTCATTAGCATCACCATGATGCTAGATGGCAGCCTATCAAAAAGTTTTGGCCCATTTTGGTTCCTGATTGGCTAGAACTCCACAGGCAGTTAGGTTCCACCTCCTACATCTTTTTTTGATACATCTCCTCACAGAACTACAATTCCCAGACTGAAACCACTTTGGGAATTGTAGCTCTGTGAGGAGGGGGAGAGAGTCTCCTTACAACTCTCAGCACCTTTAACAAACTACATTTCCCAGGATTCTCTGGGGTGGGGGAGCCGCAACTGTTTAAAGTGGCACGATGGGGCCTTCATGTGCTTTTGTGCATCTCTTATAAATTTCATATTAGCAGGCTTTGCACTTTGTGGGATGGTACATGCCCCATATGCCTGCTGTCTTTGTCCATGGAATTTTCTTGGCAGGGATACTGGAGTGGCTTGCCATTTCCTGCTCCAGGTGGATCACGTTTAGTCAAAGCTCTCCACTATGACCTGTCCATCTTGGGTGGCCTTGCACGGCATAGCTCATAGCTTCTCTGAGTTGTTCAAGCCCCTTCGCCACGACAAGGCAGTGATCCATGAAGGAAGAAAAAGGCTGATCGCCGAAGTATTGATGCTTTTGAATTATGGTGCTGGAGGAGACTTTGAGAGTCCCATGGACTGCAAGAAGATCAAACCTATCCATTCTGAAGGAAATCAGCCCTGAGTGCTCACTGGAAGGACAGATCTTGAAGCTGAGGCTCCAGTACTTTGGCCACCTCATGAGAAGAGAAGACTCCCTGGAAAAGACCCTGATGTTGGGAAAGATGGAGGGCACAAGGAGAAGGGGACGACAGAGGAGGAGATGGTTGGACAGTGTTCTCGAAGCTACCAGCATGAGTTTGACCAAACTGCGGGAGGCAGTGGAAGACAGGAGTGCCTGGCGTGCTCTGGTCCAGGAGGTCACAAAGAGTCGGACACGACTAAACGACTAAACAACAACAACAACATGCCCCATAAACAAGAGCCAACTTTTCTGGGCTTGTGTGCAGATACGCAAACCAGAGACACTCTTGTGGGTACCACAGAAACATACATATCACATCTAAGCACATCCTATTCTCTGGGTTACAACAGAATGCTTCTTTCAAGCTTAACTCACCAGGAAAGTCCTCTCAGGGCACCTATGGGTACCATCATGGTGGTCTCTGAACTGGGTGTTCCTATTGCCCTTATTTATACCCCAACTCCACCTGAGGCAGCCTCGCCTTGCCTGGATCATTGCCATGATCGATTAAGCACATGACACTTAGAATCATAGAGTTTGGAGGGACCCCAAGGATCATCCAGTCCAACCCCCTGAAATGCAGCTGTCCCATTTGGCGATCAAACCTGGAACTTTGGCATTATCACCCCAACTTACTCAGGCTGGCTTGGAAGACAGGCCTCTGCCTCCGAAAGCTTACAATCCGAATTTCACCAAAAGACAGGGGGAGAGAGGCAAAGGGTAACACGGGGAAACTATGGTCACGTGCAGTTTCTCGTCCGTCGCTTCTGCAGAAACCGAGGAAGAAGGGCTGAATGAAAATGTTGCAATGTAGGAGGAGAACAGCAAGCATAGCCTGGAGCATTGAAGTTGGGCTCTTGCATTGCAACAGAGGCGCTCTTTCCTTTTGCTGTCTCGGAGCCAGGTGAAGCAAGATGTTCTGGGCCATCCTCTGGGAGGAGGCCGGAGAGCAGCTCCTGCCCACGTCAGCGCTGACCTTCCAGAAAACTCAATGGGGGAAGTTTGAGAAGGGAGAACGTATTGCAGTCAATAAACTCTTTGCTGCTTCAGCCGTTTTGTTCAGATTGCATTTTAAGGAGCGGGATTAAAGGTTTTAGGACCCACTTCTCACAGGGTATCCGGCTGCTTTGGGACTACAATTCCCATCATCCCTGACCGCTGGCATTGATGGCTATTCCACAGCTTCGCTCTGCCCTGGGGATCCCACCCAGGGTCACCTCATCCGCATGGCCTCTCTCCTACGCCATACTGTCTGGCTCTCCTCTAACTTCCGCAGGTTGCTTGGCCAGCAGTCAGGGACGATGGGAGTTGTAGTTCACAAAATCTGTGGGTGGGCTAGTATTGCCACTAGACAAAGTTTCAATAATTTCCGGTGAGCTGCTTTTCCAACTCGCTTGTTGGACTCTCTGCATACCGGAGAGGCTGGAAAATCAGTATACAAAATCCTTGCTATGATATTGTTTTTATTTATTACATTTATATCCCATCCGCAATGGTTACTGTTAAGTTGTGGGTGAACATATCAGACGACACAGCGATTCTTCAAACAGCTCTTGTTTATTCATAGGCCAGAACAGAACTGCTATATAAGCAGCCAGTCTGCTTATATAGAGCTCCACTACAACGCAACAGTAACCACTTCCTGTAACTATCCAATCACTGAACGTCACTTTCAATCCCTTATTTGCATATGTGGACCTGAGTGAAAACTATCTACAGTATCCCCCTGCTGGCCCAGGGTGAGAACTTCAGTACATAACAGTTACTAGCCATGACTGCTATGTATTACGCCCCTGAATACAAGTCGCTGGGAACTACAAGTGAGGAAGTGTTAGTGTTGAACTCAGGTCCATCTTCCGCGTTTCGCACACACATCTGGTTGGCCGCTGTGGGCTCAGGATGCTGGACTAGGCAGGTTTTTGTCCTGATCCAACATGGCTGCCCTTATGCTAAACGTGCAACTGATAAACCTGTCCTTGGAATAGAGAGAGCTTCCCTCACCCTTTGAATAATATGTTTATAGAAATGTTGTTGTTCACATTAATGACTTTCTGGTATGCGGGGTGGGTAGGCCAGGTAGTTAATTTAGTTAGCCTAAGTTAATTAACTCAGAGCTCCGGGGAGGGGCCGCCTTTTTTGCGCGGTCTAACCGCCGGCTGAGGCAATATCCCTTCGCCCTGAGGTAAAAAGAAGCGCAGAAGGCCTGTTGGGCGGGAAACCTCGTCAGAGGCTCATTGGGCCGCCCATCCCCACCAATCCCCGCCCATTTCCCCCCTCCTGAAGAACATGACGTCAGAGACCCCGCCCCCTTTCCCCCTCGTCGCTGGTAGGGAACACTTTCTATCGATCGCGCCCCGCCCTTCATGACGTACATTCCCTTCAGCCAACCCGGTGCCGAATTCCAGGAGCCACCGCCCACGTCCCCGCCCAGAAGGGGCGTGTCCTCCCGGCAAAGAGAAGAGCCGCATGGGCACTGCCCCGGCACTTCCCGCGTGGCGGAGAGCGGAGCCCTCAGCGGGGGATCACGGCGGCCACGTGGAAATCGGAGCCGGCAGTGGTTTAAAGGAACTTCCCTGGGGAGGAGACCGAAGCAGCAGCAGTAGCAGCAGCAGCACGAGGAATCCACTGGATCACGCTTGACCCACCTGAGCTGGCCGAGGGAACCTCCCCACCTGGTTCCGCGTGGCGCTTTTTCCATTGTGCACCAAATCGCATCCTGATTTTGGGAGCTTTACGCGTGGGAACTTGGCCGCAGCTGCAGCTTCTTCCTTAAGAAATTCCTTATTTGGTACATTTTGCCAGATCTCTTTCTATTTCCGCCCTCCCCTTATTCTAATTTTTTTTTTTTGGTGTGCTTTTAATTGCTCCGCGATGGCGGCGGAGAAATTCCCCGGCGCCTCCAACGGGAACATCGGGGCTCCGGCGCACGTCGGAGTGGAGGTCCCCGAGAGCGGCGGCAAGAGCAACCTGGGCGCGTCCCGCCTGCGGGGCTGCCTGCGAGCCAACCTGCTTGTGCTGCTGACGGTGGCCGGCGTGGTGGCGGGCGTGGTGGTGGGGCTCGGGGTGCGGCAGCTGCCGGGCGGCGGGCTGAGCCGCGTGGACATCCTGCTCTTCTCCTTCCCCGGGGAGCTGCTGCTGCGCTTGCTGAAGATGATCATCTTGCCCCTGGTGGTCTGCAGCCTGGTGGCGGGCGCCGCCAGCCTGGACCCGGCTGCCTTGGGGCGCTTGGGCGGCTGGGCGATGCTCTTCTTCCTGCTCACCACCCTGCTGGCGTCCTCCATCGGCGTCGCCCTGGCCTTCATCATCAAGCCCGGAGAGGGGGCGTCGGCCCCCAAGCTCTTCGGCGACGAGGCGGCCGTGCCCGAGGCCAAGCAAGTGGTCGACTCCTTCCTCGACCTCATCAGGTGAGCGGGGAAGGGGAATTCGGGTTTCTGCAGGCGTCGCATGCTCAGAGGCGCTCTTGGAATCGTAGAGTTGGAAGGGATCCCCTGCAAAACAGGAACCCTGCGCACAACCGCCCCTGGCTGGGCTCGATCCGTCAACCTTCTGGTTAACAGCCAGATGTACAGCTTGTTGCTGTTTTTTGTTTTTTTCAAAGTACAGTGGTACCTCGGGTTACATACACTTCAGGTTACATATGCTTCAGGTTACACACTCCGCTAACCTAGAAATAGTGCTTCAGGTTAAGAACTTTGCTTCAGGATAAGAACAGAAATTGGGCTCCGGCGGTGTGGCGGCAGCAGGAGGCCCCATTAGCTAAAGTGGTGCTTCAGGTTAAGAACGGTTTCAGGTTAAGTACGGACCTCCGGAACGAATTAAGTACTTAACCCGAGGTACCACTGTATAGCTTGCCCTGCATTTTATACTTTGTACAACTGCACATTTCAGCAAACCAAAGCAGTCATGTAACTCTGGAAAGGAGCAATTAATTTTAAAGGGAATATCACCTGTACATCGATGGCAGCGATGAAAACCCAGTGCAAGGAACGGGATAGCAGTTCCCCATAGGCACTCCTGTTTGTCCAGTGTTGGTGCTGTTGCCCACCCTCCAGGAGGAACTCCATCAAGGCTGAACCCTGGGGTAAAGCCACACGTGGCAGGAGCAGTTAACTGCATCTTAATGTGACGCGGTTCGTTTCTGCCACCTAGGCGGATCCTCCTGAGAAAGCCATGTCCCATGGGTAGTATATTCTGAAAGCGGATAGTCGTGGTTGCTTTGCAGGCTCACCGGCGTGTGAATACCAAAGGTTTTTTTTTAGGCCTTTGAATGTTAATCACTAGGCATAAAATCTTGACCATATAGTAGCTCGTGCACTTAACCAAGAGCCATCAAGCCTTACAGTGGGTAGCTAGTTATACAATTTGTAATTTGGATGCGTTCAGGGCGCTGTCTCTTTATTGCTTAAAATGCACTACCTCTTGCTCAGATTAAGACTGGGGGGAGAGAAGAGCAACCCCCTTGAGGCTCATGTATGAGGTGTGCTGGGGGGGGGGAGCTTCTGTGACCCTTAGATCCCTGCCTAAAGCAATAGATGCTTTCTTTGCAGGGCAGGTGGTTAAAAAAAGGGTACTGTATTCCAACTACAGTGGTACCTCGGGTTACATACGCTTCAGGTTACGTACGCTTCAGGTTACAGACTCCGCTAACCCAGAAATAGTGCTTCAGGTTAAGAACTTTGCTTCAGGATGAGAACAGAAATCATGCTCCGGCGGTGCAGCGGCAGCAGGAGGCCCCATTAGCTAAAGTGGTGCTTCAGGTTAAGAACAGTTTCAGGTTAAGAATGGACCTCTGGAACGAATTAAGTACTTAACCCGACGTACCACTGTATTCCTGTTGGCCAAAATATGCATTACTTTAGTGGAAACAGAAGGAGCATGTGTTCATGCGTCTCCTCCCTCTTGTTTGTGGGACATGGCCCTGGAATGCTTCTTTTTTTAAAAAACCCTGGGATGGTGTGTCATGCGAGGACAAACATTGCCTCTCTGTCTTCTCGCATTTTCTTGGATCTGTTTATTCCACCCTCCCTGTCACGCATGCCTTTATGAGCTGGAATATAATCCGGTGTAAGAGGATCGCATTTCTCCCAACCAACGGGAAAGCCTCCCCTGCCCCCTCCAGAGAGCCAGAGAAAAGGGCCAAAATGTCTCAATCCGGGCTAAAATACGCCCTTCCAGAAAGGCCATTGGTCACAGGGTGTAGAGTCCTCCCCCCCCCTCCACCGATGGGGGTACAGAATGTTCTAAGATGGTCATCCTGCTCTGTTGTGGCTGTTTTCCTGCTCCCTTCCTGGCAGTTTTTGAAATAATGTCATCCTTCCTGACGAAAATGGAAATTTCGGACGGGTGCAGGAGTGGGAGGCCTGGAATGTGCCGGGATTAGGGTAGCGTCTGCATCTTCTTGCTGAATCCAGGGTGGTTGTGGTGGGCCGGCCGGCCTTCTCTGTACGGTGTGAAAAGTTACGTTGGCAGTGCAGAGAGGGCTGTGGCAAGAAACAGCTGCTTCCATAGCAGAGGGATGCGGAGACCTTGCGCCAGGTTTCTCTTCCCCTCATGCCCTCCAGATGTTTTCATCTACAACTCCCTTTGAGGCCCCAACCAGCACAGTGAGTTGTAGTCCAAAACATCTGGAGTAGCACCAGTTTAAGAGACGGCTGGTACACGGTTTTATTGGGTGGCAGAAAACATCTCATTATACACAATTGGCTGGCAGCCCCACTTGGAAAAGGAACTTGAAGGTATCGAATCGCCATTTCTGATTACGGGCCACTTCAGCAAAACTGGATGGCAGTCTTAGTAGTCTTCAACAGATGCAAGCCTTGTATTTGTGGACCCCATTCTTATTCTTTTAGCATACGGTGCTCCTGTTAGAAAGAAACTCGGATACATAAGCTAGGTGCCTTAGGCTTAGACCAAGGTTACAGTCACCAAAATGGAATGTCTAGCTGTCATTTTTGGGCGGCTCTTGAATCTTATTTTTCCAAGGAAAGCCAGACTGCGGTTGATTCTCAGTTAAACGTCTGGCTAATTCAAAGGGCAACCTTGAGTTGGGTTAAGACCTTTGAGAACTGAAAAGTCACTTGATCCCGGGATAGTCTACGTATATATTGGCCTATTCCTGTTCTCTTCTTCTTAATAGTGACTGCTCCTGCTACCCAGGAATCTTCACTTGGTCGCAAGTACAGTGGTACCTTGGGTTAAGAACTTAATTTGTTCTGGAGGTCTGTTCTTAACCTGAAACGGTTCTTAACCTGAGATACCACTTTAGCTAATGGGGCCTCCTTCTGCTGCCATGCTGCTGCCGTGCAATTTCTCTTCTCATCCTGAAGCAAAGTTCTTAAACCGAGGTACTATTTCTGGGTTAGCGGTGTCTGTAACCTGAAGTACCACTGTAGTTGAAAGCCATATTCAAAATGCGCCTGGTTTAAAAGTCCTGCGTCTCCATCACTGCTGCTCATCTGCAGATCCGGAGAGCTGGTGGACTGAAGATGTCATCACCCAGACCATGCCAGCTTTGTACTGAGTACTTTGCGGGGTTAGTCCAAAGACCCATTGACTGGTTAAATGCCTCCTAGGAGTAATAGCAATCGCCCCAAAGCCTTTCCCTCTTGGGCTCAACCTGCCGAAGCAGTGCTACCTTTGACTGCGTCTCCCCTGGGGAGGTGATTCTGGTCCACGTTGCCGTGGCTGCAGGTCGCCTTTTATTGAAAACGCTTCTCCCCTCCCCGCTGCCCAATGCTAGTTGTGCTGCTGGTTGCTGTGGCAACCATGCAACGCTCATTTCCGCAGGTTTAATGATAGCTGTGCAAAGATAATACGGGACTGTAATCTAATCTACAGCTCCTCTAGACAGATTTCCTCTTGTGGGAACCTGACAGGCAGAGGGGTGAGCATCTCCTGGGATGCTTGCCGACATTAACACTCACCTGGCAGATTGAAACCTGGCAGGTAGCTGTGGCGTGCCCAAGGCCTCTGCCAACTGGGCTGGCTTTCTGTTGCAAAGGGATTTAACAACAAAAAACCCCATAGATAAGTAAATGTGCGATTGCTTGCCTGCAGTCTGTTCCACCACCTCATTCTGGTCATACACAGGCCAGGTTAGAATTGTTGCGAGGAAGCACAGATCCTCAAGGGACTAGAGCAGTCTTTCACAAAAGGACCCAAGTTCAGTCTTTGTATCGCTGGTTAAAAATAGAATCGAGCATCAGGTGATGAAGATGTTTTCTGCCCAAGATCCTGAAGAGCTGCAATATTGGTGTGTTTGTGTCACCACCCCAGATAGAAAATTACGAGAACCACCTTGTTTTTCTTTATCTGACCTGGATCTTGGAAGCACTGGAACATCCTGTCCATGCATAAAGCAGATTTATTTTTTATCTCATATTCTTTATTGAAAGATAAAAGAATACATAATGACATGCAGACAGGGTAGGATAAGACACAAAAAAGAAGAAAGGAAGAAAAGAAATACGTAGCAGAGAACAGAACAGCAACAAATGTATAAATTACAAGAAAATGTTATTGTAGTTACCCAGACCATAAGCTAATACAGTATTTATATAACAGATTTTTTTGGCTACAGAGTACTTGAGAACTTGTGTAGAGACCCCTGCTCCCAGCCCAGCCTACCAGCTGGAACTGACACCCCATGTGGTGCATGCACAATAGATGACCCAATGTTTTGTGATCATGTGGGTTGTTCTCTTCCAGTTTTCCTCGCACTGTTGCAACCTCTGGGCACCTGGCACGACAAAGCACTTTGCTCGGGCGCTGTGCCCCTGAGACACAAAGTTCCAGGGAGCTGGGGAAAGCTAAGATATAGCAAGAACCAGTTCCCCCACTTCCTCTGCCCAGACACATGCTCCCAGTCCAGGATCTGTTGCAAGACCTTTTTTCCGCATAGCTTGGAGTTGTGGGTGCCGCGTAGAGATAATTTCTACCCTCTCCTAGATGGAAATCTTTAATTTCAGGGCTGGCTGGGTTTTTATATTCCCCCCCTGGGGGGGCTATAGAAGTCTTTTTATACACCTGCCCATTACCAAATTTGGTATTCTGGTAACCCTTGCCCCCTACTTTCTTCCACCTCCCCCCCCCAAAAAAAAACCCTCTGTGCGTGTAACAACAATCACAAATTACACTATTGCAGGAGAATGTGGATTAGTTGAATTGCCTCCAGGATAATGGGATTTCAGCTCATTTTCCACAACCGTTGGTCCTTTGGGCAGATGGGAGCTGGAATTCAAAACATCTGGAAGGCGCAAAAGCGTTAGCAGGGTGATCTATAGCATCGAGCTATTGCCTCCGCAAGCAGTGTCTTAATGCCGAAGAGAGAAAATCTAATAAAATTGTACCTTGGCTACCAGTTAACCTTGGTTGCACCTCTTTAGGGTCTCAAACACAGAAGCATTTTGCAGCTCCCACGTACAACCAGTGTTAGAAATTAGGCAGACGCGATTTGCCACTGGCGCGGGTCCCATTGCAACCACATGGAGGTCTCTGGACTGGGGAAAACCAACCGTCACATAGAGAAGGATCTGAAATATTTCTCGAAGCTTGACTTTGTTTTGTTTTGGATTGTTTGGCTTGATGTTTCAATATGCTGTAAGTCTCTTCGAGATCTGTTCTTTACAGTGTAAAGCAGCATAGAAATGGAGTTAAGAATAAGAATAAATTCCATTGTCTTTTAAAAATGAAGGGTGCCCAGACGTTTGGTTGTGGTGACTGTAACCTAGGTTTAAGGTGCCGTTTGGCCATTGGTTTATATATCTGAGTTTCTAACACTGCATATAATACTTGTTATATCTGCCTTTGCCAACTTGGTGCCCTCTGGGTATTACAAGTCTCATCAGTTGGAGTCCAGCAACATTTGGAGGGCACCAGGTTGAGGATGCCTGGGTGGGAGCTCAACTGCATTCTTTACTGTGTATGCTTCTCCCCCCTCCCCCCGCTTAAAAAAATTGCACCATTGCTAATGCTCTAGCAAGCACAAGCCTTGAGGGGGGCAGTTCCCCTGCTTTTATCAATTTACCTGGCATTTCACACAAGTGGGGTAGCTTCCTCTCTCTACCTTTGCTCACCTTTGCTGAGTCAAAGATGTGACCCATGCCCAGCTTTTTCCCTTTGGACCACTTCCAGTTGAAGGAGAGACGATCTCATAAAGACGGTTGCCCTGCCTGCTTGCAAATAGGCTATTGACTTCGCCTTGCCTTAAGACCAGAGAGGTCATGCAGTTTCAATTGTTATATTGGCCACAATCCGATTGGTGTGTCCACCCTCCGAAACAGCTGCTTGCATCACCCTAGTGATAAGCCCAGAAAAACAGTTTTGTTCAGAATTTTGCCAAAATTCTGTATGGGGGAAGCTCTGCTCCCCATTTCTTTTTGTTATACTTTTTTAAAATTAACTTTCCCCTAACGTTTTCACATCAAATAGTTTCGTAAATTGACTTCCCACTCCCACTTCAGCAGTGTTCTTACTCAAACCTTTTCTACGGCACTATATCTTTATTACACAAAGTTTCTCTGTTACAGTTGTTTTGTCATTTTGCTTCCGTTGCGTCTATCTCCTACCCTGACCGCGATTTCGTTTGACGATAGCATTTTTTTTTAATAGTCCAAGAAAGGCCTCCATTCTTCTGCGAAATGTTCATCATTTTGATCTCTTAATTTCCCCGTCAGCTTTGCCATTTCTGTGTAGTCCCTGCTGTTTCTGAGCTCGAACGCTGCAGCTCTTTCAAAATAATTTGCCGCCATCAAATTTGGAAACCTGTCCTGTAACAGCTTCCAGAAGAGGAGCCCCGATGCAGTTGTACCTTGGTTTTCAAACACCGCAGTTCTCAAACGTTTTGGCTTCCAAACGCCGCAAACCCGGAAGTGACTGTTCCGGTTTGCGAACTATTTTGGGAAGCCAAACGTCCCAGCGGGGCTTCCGATTGGCTGCCGAAGCTTCCTGCAGTGAATCAGAAGCCGCACTTTGGTTTCTGAACATTTTGGAAGTCGAATGGACTTCTGGAACAGATTCTGTTCGACTTCCAAGCTACAGCTGTAGTCCGTTGCATCAGAAGCGGCGGAGTTAAGAGATGCATGGAGTTAAATTTCTGCAAATAAAGTTACTTTGGCCTTGGGTTCACTTTTGGTCTAAGCTGGTGATAAAGCAGAATAATAGAATTGTCGCTTGTGCTTTTCATAAGCTTGAGCTCCAGGAGAGCTAAACCCCTTGCTATACGAGGCAGAGATGGGAGGGAGAGCTTTTATTAATGCTGACATTGAGCTTGAGCTGGGTTAGTCCTCTGCCTCTGCCACTCCGGGGGAACAAAGAGGGTGTCTTTCATGTTGACCTCAATCTGGGGCTCCCTGTTTGTGGGTGGAGCCGTATCGACTGATTACTGCTGTGGGTAGAAATCCAGTTTTCCGCTGTGACCTACCAGTGGAAATCCAGTTTTCTGCTGTGACCTTCCAGAACCTGGGGTAATGCTGAGCAACTCTGAATCGAGCCATTGTGGACGGATGGAGCAAGCTGGCAGCGGTGACGTAAAGGCCTCTGCTTGCAGAGAAACAGGATCTTTCCAGGGGCAGAGAAGACCGCTCAGCGAAAGGGGTGGGCTTCTCCTGGCATTCCTGGGAGCGGGAATGCTTTTGGGAGATCCTAACACAGCCTCGTGCCCTCTGGAGCAGCTGGCTGAGAACGATGGGAGTTGTACCCCAAAAACATCTGCAGAGCAACAAGTTGATGAAGACTGTGATAGAACTCTTTCCCCCCCATGTCTCTGGAAGGGTCGTGGTTTTGGGGGGTTTTTTTTTGCATACAATAAAGACAGTGGACGCTCGGGTCGCGAACGTGATCCGTGCGGGATGCACGTTTGCAACCCGCAGCGTCGCGTCTGTGCACGCGCGGGTTGCGCTTCTGCGCATGCGCAAAGCACGATTTAGCCCTTCTGCACATGCGCGACTGCCGAAACCTGGAAGTAACCCATTCCGGTACTTCCGGGTTTTGGTGGTCTGTAACCCGAAAAAACGCAACCTGAAGTGTCTGTAACCCGAGGTATGACTGTATCAGAAAATGGAATGCTGTACGCACACCGGTTTAAGAGTTGCTGAGTCACCACACAACAAAAGTTGCTGAGTCACGTTCAAAGGAAGGCCCTTTAAGAAGATAAGTTTTCGGTTGCTGCCTAAAGGCAAGAATGCTTGGGGCTTGCTTAATTTCAGCCGGGAGCTGATTCCAGAGAACTGGAGCTGCAATTCTCCCGGAAAACTGTACTGTTACACCCAAATTTGGCGAACAACGCTGTGCTTTGCCCTCCAAGTCAGAACCAGGGCATTGGTTCATCTTGCTTATGCTGACTGGCGGCTTTCCCCCTCTCCATCCTTACATGGAAATAGCACAGACTGACCTTGGGACCTTTTTTGCATTTAATTTCTCTGCTCTCCCACTGAGCTCTGGGACTTCCCTAAAGAGGCAGGTCCCACTGCTTCTCTTGCACAACAGCCTTGAACTTGCAACCTTCAGTGGCTCTGAGCAGCCGGCCGGCCTCCAGCTGGCGAATTGTGCCTCTGTTTTCCATTTGGGAGGCAAGCAGCAAACTCCCTTCCCGAACCAGGAAATTGGATTGAACTGGAGTGTATTTGGGGGTGAAGGGAGCAGCAGGCAAGTCTGAGGCTTGGGTGCTGGTGCTCAAGCCATGGTTGTAGCTGTTGCATTTGAATTCCACCAGACTTTTGAAAACCCCGTCTTTGGTGGGTTGTGTCAGCCTCCAATGGCCAAGTCCTTTTCTTGCTGAGCTTAAAGGTAAAGGTAACCATTAGGTCCAGTCGTGGCCCAAGACTCTGGAGTTGTGGCGCTCATCTCGCTTTACTGGCCGAGGCAGCCGGCGTACAGCTTCCGGGTCATGTGGCCAGCCGTTTACCTTCCCACTGGAGCGGTACCTATTTATCTACTTGCACTTTGATTTGCTTTCGAACTGCTAGGTTGGCAGGAGCAGGGACCAAGCAACGGGAGCTCACCCCGCCGCGGGGATTCAAACTGCCAACCTTCTGATCGGCAAGTCCTAGGCTCTGTGGTTTAACCCACAGCGCCACCCGCGTCCCTGAGCTTATGTACCCCCCTAACCCACATTCAGTAGAGCACGAGGCTGTCAGTCTCAGGGTTGTGGGTTTGAGCCCCACATTGGGCAAAAGATACCTGCATTGCAGGGGGTTGGTCTAGATGATCGTTTGTGGTCCCTTCCAACTCTGCAATTCTATGTTTATCTTGCCCATAACAGCCATAGCGACCCATTCACAAAAACAGTCAGGAAATAGCCATGTGGTCATTGGAGGATAGGCTATTCCACTTCTTAGATTCGGCTGGCCTTCTGCGAACACGAGATTCGGCTGGCCTTCTGCGAACATGATAATAAATCTAGCGTCCTTTGCCTACTGTGTTTTGTTTTTTTAGACAAACAGCAAATGATTCTTGAATACCATGAGAATTCAAGAAAGGCAGAGTGGTCCATTTCCCTCTCGTTGTTCACAATGTGTCATCACCCCTCATTTCTCTTCTCCCCCCCCAAAAAAATTGGTTTTCCAGCCCATCAGGCTCTTTTGAAAACAGATAGGCAGAGAACACATTGCTGAACTTCATCAACCCTGGGAATAAACCTCTCTGCTTATTTCCAAGCAGACAGTTCACTACCACGAGATCCTTGCGGTGGCGATGATTTTTACACGCAGAGTCAGAAGCGCCTGTAGTTTATGAGTCGCATGGAATCCTGAGTCATGAGAGCTGACATTTAAACGTCTGCCGTTAGAGGGAAGGTGCTTTGAAAAGAGGTGGGAGAGAGGAGCTAATTCTGAGAGCTTTGTGCAGGGGGTATTTTGCGCAGGGTCTTCCAGCAATTCGGCTGCTCATAATGGAACTTGGGCACTGTCGCGATAGGAAGGAGAGACAGTTTGCAACGATGCTTTTTGGAGTAGGTGCGGTTATTTCTGTACACCGTCTGTTTCTTTGACTCGGTTCGTTCTGAAAAGGGGGTGGGACAAGGATGGTTTTGTCCTCCTAAATCTGATGCAACATGCGCCGGGTGTTGAGTTTCCTTGCTGATGTCGTGAGGTTGGGTTTTTGGTGTGTGCTTCCCCCCCTAAAAAAAAAAAGCTAAAGAACAGTTCATTTAGGCTAAAAAGATGACTTATTTCTCTGCTGAGAGCAAAAGGAAAATTCCAAATTCCTGAGAATTAGGGGTGGGTGGAAATCCTCAAGAGCCCCAGGTGGCATCCAGCCAAGTTTTACTATGTATTGAAATGAATGGGCCTAACTTAGTCATGCTCATGAATAAAAATGCGTCTACTCAGAGTAAAATTTAGTTGAACACACACCCTATTTTTTAGATAGAATCATAGAATCCTAGAGTTGGAAGAGACCACAAGGGCCATCGAGTCCAACCCCCTGCCAAGCAGGAAACACCATCAGCGCACTCCTGACATATGGTTGTCAAGCCTCTGCTTAAAGACCTCCAAAGAAGGAGACTCCACCACACTCCTTGGCAGCAAATACCACTGTCAAACAGCTCTTACTGTCAGGAATCGGGGGTCCAAAATCCTGGGAGCCCCAGGCTGACATACAGTGGTACCTCAGGTTAAGTACTTAATTCGTTCTGGAGGTCCGTTCTTAACCTGAAACTGTTCTTAACCTGAAGCACCACTTTAGCTAATGGGGCCTCCTGCTGTTGCCGTGCTGCCGGAGCACGCTTTCTGTTCTCATCCTGAAGCAAAGTTCTTAACCTGAAGCACTATTTCTGGGTTAGCGGAGTCTGTAACCTGAAGTGTATGTAACCTGAAGCGTATGTAACCCAAGGTACCACTGTATATAAGTCTAAGAAGCTTACATGTGCACCACAGAACGCATTCGGACCTTGGAAGTAAAATACCTTGCCAGTTGAGTGTTTTGGCTCTTGAACGTCGCAAACCCGGAAGTGATTGTTCCGGCTTGCAAATGTTCTTTTGAACCTGAACGTCCGTCGTGGCTTCCGATTGGCTGCAGGAATCTCCCGGAAAAATTAAAAAGGCAAAAGCCTTACACTGCCCCTCCTGGTGCAAAAGGAGATGGGAACCCTCAAACATTTAGGATAAAAACCACCTCCCAGTTACAAGAAAATGAACAGGGGTGCCTGGGAACAGAGGCCTTGACAGACATTGGGGGGGGTGCTATCTTGTGGGCTGCATGGACCCCAGGTTTACAGTATGGCTATGACATTTATGCGTGCAAAGGGGTTGGACTAGATGATCCTTGGAACCCCTTCCAACTATGATTCTATGGAAAGCGTAATGCTGGTGGTCAACAAAAGAGGTTTAAAGACTGTCTCAAGGCAAATCTAAAACAATGTAGTACTGTATAAACACCGACAACTGGGAAACACTGGCCTGCGAGCGCTCCAGTTGGAGAACAGCCTTTACCAAAGGTGTCATGGGCTTTGAAGACACTCGAACTCAGAACGCAAGGGGAGAAACGTGCTAAGAGGAAGGCACGCTTGGCAAATCCACACCGTCATCAACTCCCGCCCGGGAACCAATGTCTGCACTGTGGAAGGACGCGTGGGTCCAGAATTGGCATCTACAGTCACTTACGGACTCCTTGTTAAAACTGTGCTTATGGAAGACAATCTTACTTGGCTATGGGTGATTGCCAAAGATGATTCTGTGATCTAAACCAGCGTTTCTTAAATGAGTCTTATACTGAGGGCTGCTGCTCTCTTGCTTGGTGTCTTTGGCTTCCTGAGCTTTCTAAAATGATAGTCATTATACGGGAGGGCGCTTGGGAGGTTTTGGAATTCAAACCTTTCTGCTGTTTGTCCTTTGTGGCCACAGTCTAACAAAGATGTACTTGTTCTGGGCTGGGGCGCAAGAGGTGATTTTGGAGAGCATGTGCCAGGAGTTTCTTCGGAGAAGCTGCCTCAGACGTTGCTGGCTTTATGCAGGCATAACCATGGTCAAATGCAAAAATTGTGGTTCCCCATGTCGGTTGATCACCAGCCTTCGGCCACGGTTCAGGCATGCGGCTTAACGATGGTTAAAGCAAGGGGAACCGTGTCTGTTTTGCTGGTGATTGAGACCGTCCAAATCTGGATGAGCGAGCTGGAGTGCCTGAGATCCGAGAATGTGGAATGGGTGAGATTCAAGAGGATATAAAAACTACAGAAAGGGGGTGGAGCAGGTGGTGCTACTTTAAATCGTCTTTCTCCAACCTGGTGCCCTCCAAACGTTTCGAACTCCAATTCCCACCAGTCCTAGTCAGCAAGGCCAATACTCCGGGATGATGGGGTTTGTAGCCTAAAATATCTGGGAGGTATGTGGAAAGGTGTATGGAGGCATTGGGAGCAATAATTTGGAAGACTTAGGCAGGAGCAACGGCAGTTAGTTTTGTCCTCTTCCCTAAAGCTGTAAGGGTGATAACTGAGGAGGAGAAAGATGCTCAGGAGATTGCTGGAAGAGGAAATGGGAGACTTCATCCCAGGGTAAATAGCTGCTCAGTTATAATAACAGACAACATTTCAGATACGATTGTGCCTTTCGGAAAGAGATAAGAGGAGACTCGACCCTTCATTCAATAATGAGCACTGTGCAGGGCAGGGCCGTAACTTGCCTTTCTCAAACCCGACATACCTGCAAGTAGAAAATAGCCTGCTTGGTGCAGTGCAGTCGCCTTGGGTTTCCGAAGAAAGAATTTCTCATAAATGGAGGCATGAGATAAAAGAGAGCGACGGGAAGGTCAAATTCCTTTAGGCGGTGGCTCAGATTCACTGTAAGGGAGGTTCAGATGAAATCTCCATGTGGGTTGTATCCAGCTATGTTAGACGTACATACATATATCAGTGTTCGAAATTAGCCGGGCACCAGTCGCATTTTGCCTGGTTGAAGTCAGCTGGTGTGCTGGGCACTGAGGCTGCAAAAGATACCACACTGGTTTTCTTTCTGATCTAGTATCCAGTTTCTCCCCTTTTGTGTTTCTCAGTAATATCCCCCCCAATAAAATAAAATAAAATAAATCCATCTTATCACAGGATGCTTCTGTCAAGTGCTTTGCTGGAACTGCGATATTTCACCCTGGCATCTTTGCAGCATTCAATGTAACGGCACAGTTCTCTGCATAATTTTTTGGCTTCTCTAAGTTTAGCGTCTAGTGCTGCACCCATGGGTGGCCACCCATGTCTTCCAAGCATGAAACAGAATGGCGCGTGTTCCGCAGATAAGTACGCAGAGTTCTGAGAAGTTTGATCGTGGTCTGATAACCCGTTTGCCTGTGGTTGATATACTGCAGTTCTGTTTTTATGTGAAATAAAAAAAATAAGGTTTTATATATATATAATATGTTCATAACTGCATATATAAACCGCATGTCTGAAACCCCACAGAAAAAGTCCTGAAAGCATTTTGTCCCTCCCACATTGACCTCAAATATTTCACTGCTAGGTCAAAGGAAAATGGAAAAGCCTCCCCACTGTCTTTTCATTCACAAATCCTGTCTTAAGGGTATGTCTGTGTATGAATAGGGTGAACCAGTGACCTGGCTCAGGAATAAGTATTTATCATTACAAAAGACTGGCCAGGCTCCCCAGGGTATCCAACCATTAACGGGTAACCTGTCAGATGAGATAAACAAGGCACTCAGATTTCTGCTGTAGACCGCCTTTTCTGTGATGTAGGTATGATGTATGGAGGGGTGGTCTTGAGCTCCAGGGCAGGGAATTTAAAATGTCTATATAAGGGCAGGCACACCTTGGTTCTTTCCTGCGTGCAAGGGGAGCACCCTGTTGCAACAGTTCAATAAAGATCAGGCTTATGAGCTGCTTTGCTTCTCAATATTCTCTGGTTGGCCTCTTGTTATTTTCTCTGATCAATGGAGAACCTGCAAAGGACTCTATAAGGGCTCTTGTGCTCCCAATAAGGAGATAAGGGCAGTTTTTTGTTTATTACACATGACAGCCATGAAGAATTGAAAAATTATGTTTCGGACGTGAGGCCTTGGCCCACTAATGCTCTTCTCATGTGGGGTCCGCCAATGTGGCGCACCCGACAGAACGTCCTGTGAAAGGTCTTAGTAAATTCTCCCCCCTGAAATCCACAGCAGGCGAGAGTCCATCACACTTTCCTCTCAGTTCCCGAGGTTCGGCCTCTCCTTCTCAGGAACATCTCTCCCTGAAACATGCCCACATTTCTCTGGAGGCCAGGATTTGACATGCCCACCCGCCCATCTGAGCTGAGGAGAGGTTGCAGAGCGCTTCTCTATGCGCAAACATGGCAGTGGCTCACGCAGGTGCGTTTCCCTCACTGTTTAATACGGGCGTGGGGCGCACCCACATCCTTTTGCGGCCCTCTTTTCTGCGTTTTTAGATGGGGCGGCCATTTTGTGACATGCAGCAGCCCCCTCCCCAAATGGCGGCCATTTTGCACTTTCTCAAAATTCCAAATGCTCCCACCGGCCCCCCAAAATGGGAAGGGCTGCTCCTCCCTCGCGGTAAATTTTGAAGGGCACGGGAGTGAAAATGTCCACTAAAAACAGGATTGTTGGAGCTGGGAAAGAGCAGTATGAGGGAAAGCGAAGAGATCTAGCAAAGAAGGAAATGGGGGGCGGGGAGAGAGAAAAGGAGACTCTTAAAAGCTTGAAAGAAACTGCCACAGCCATCTGACATAATGGCTTTAACCAACATAGTTGACCTGGGAAGCAATAAATTTGGCTGCCCCAGGAGCCAGTCACTGTTTCCCAGCCTGGCCTACCTTGCACGGTCATTGTGGGCCGGCTGATAATTTAATTTATGCTAATATTGTTCAATTATGGGTTAGGTTCCTTCAATTTACGAAGTAATGATGTACTTTTATGCTCCTCAAATCTCGAGTGATGGCTGCCCAGTTCTCCTCAGAGGTCTGAACCACCATTGCATCTGGCGTCCCAAAAGACAGCTAAATAGCCTTCGGGCGCCAGGTTTAACAGCCCAGCTCTTTATGGAGGCTATAGGAGGCTATTTAACCTTGTTATTTCTGTCTCTGTTCCTGATCTGGATTGTTTCCTGCTTCTCTTTGCTTTCCACCGCTCCTGATTTGATTATAGGGTGCTGATTTGATTGCTCTTCCTCTGCTGATGGGTTGGTGTTTTGGCTCTTTGTAGTGAGCCGCACCTGTTGAATTCCAGCCTGTCAGGTGGCTATTGAAAAACGACGGAGAAATAACAATTTTGGCGATATAGATTGCTGCGCCTTGATTTTGTTTTCCTTGTTCCGGGGTGAGTGGGGTTGTGCTTGTTCTGAAATCGAATTTGGGGTGCAGGGAGACGGAACAAATTGCTGCATCCAAATAACTGCATCCGAAGTCACTTGTTTCAAATAGCAGAAGACATCTGAAGACAGCCCTCTTTAGGGAAGCTTTTAATGTTTAATAGATTATTGTATTTTAATATTCTGTTGGAAGCCGCCCAGAGTGGCTGGGGAAACCCAGCCAGATGGGCAGGGAATTAATAATAATAATAATAATAATAATAATAGTAATTATAGCAGGACGAGTTGGGAAAGTGAGGGGCTGGTCTGCACTTTCGTAGCTCCCTGTGGGCTGGGGGGGCTTCTCCTTGATCTGACATGCCACTCCCTGGGCCCCCCTTTCTGTGCTGCAAGAGGATAAAGTAGGGCTGCCCCCCTAAGTGCTGACGGGGTCTCCGCTCTCCAAATTGGGTCAGTATTCTGCTCTATGGAGCCAGCCACTCGCTCCCGGGATTGGAGTCTTAATCTTGTTTGTGCTGCCCAGTTAATCCTCTGGCAGTTCCAAGCCCTGAATTGATGGCGTGGGGAGAAAAGTGGCGACCAGAGGGGATTAGGGTGCGGGGAAATTCAGGAGCCTAGTGAGCAAAGGTGAAGACTGTGATATCCGATCTATCCAGGAGTTACGGCAACGGAGCAGGTTATTCTCGGCCAAGGCTCGGATGACCCAGAGAAGCGAAGTGAGCGACTCAGCAGTGGGGAGCCTGGAAGTCCCCTTGGGGCATGGGCTTTCTGTAGGTAGACACTGGCTACAAAATGTGGGGATAATAAGCACACTGGCACATAATAATAAAAATAAATTTTATTTATACCCCACCCTCCCCAGCCAAGACTGGGCTCAGGGCGGCTAACACCAGGTATAAAAACAATGGTTTAAAATACAACTTAAAAACAAGATTAAAATATAACAAAGTGCAGCCTCATTTCAGTAGAAACTCAAATCAAAAACTTTTGGGGGATGAAAACGTCAAGTCTCCACCATAGCCAACTATCCAGACTGGTCCTGCGTGGGCCGGAAAAAAGCCAAGGAAGTCCCCAAATAGGAGTTCCATCACAGAAGGAAAAAGGAAAGAGGGGGAGGGGATCAAGTTGATTCCAAGCCAAAGGCCAGGCGGAACAACTCTGTCTTACAGGCCCTGCGGAAAGAAATCAGATCCTGCAGGGCCCTGGTCTCATGAGGCAGAGCGTTCCACCAGGTCGGAGCCAGTGTTGTTCTATTATGGGTTAAGTTCCTACAATTTATGAAGTAATGATGCACTTTTATGCTCCTCAGCTCTCGAGTGATGGCTGCCCAGCTCTCCTCATATCCCGTAGCAAAAAGCCCTGGCTCTGGTTGAGGCTAATCTGACTTCCTTAGGGCCTGGGACCTCCAGGGTGTTGCTGTTTATGGACCTTAAGGTCCTCCGCGGGGCATACTGGGAGAGGCAGTCCCGTAGGACAGAGAGGTAACTGTGATCCCATACCTTTGCTGCCTTATGGGAAATCTTTGGGAGAAGAAAAGGCTTAGGAGGAAACCCTGCACAAATCCGGAGGGGGGTCCCTAAGGCAGTTGGGTGGTGCCTTGCTTTCCTCCTTCAGGCAACTCCTGCAGCCAGGCTGGGGCCAAATGTCTTGTTCTGCTTTCCTTTGGCCACATCAGTGGGGCCGAGAGGGGAGTCTTGTTGTCTGGGCAGCCCAGGACCTCCAGATACTCTGCCCAGGCTTGCATCCCAGGGAGGTCACTTCCATGCTGCTAATGCAGTAGTTTGACTTCACCCTCAGAGGCGCACTCCATTGTGTCTCAAGACCGATGGATGCTACCTGGAAGGACCTGGTTAACAAGCAATGAAAACAGCATACTGGAATAAAAGGAGCCGCTCTGGTTTGACCCAGTGGAGCCGGACATTCCTATGAGAGGCAGCGTGGTGTAGTGGTTACTGTTGGGCTAGGAGTTGGGAGGCTAGGGCTCGAATCCCCCCTCAGGCATGAAGCTCACTGGGTGACCTTGGGCCAGTCAGTGTCTCTCAGCCTAACCTACCTCACAGGGTTGTTGTAGGGATTCATTGAGGAGAAGGGAGAACCACGTACATCGTCTTGAACTCCTTGGAAGAAAAGGTGTCATTATATAGCTAATGAAATAAAATAAATGCATTTTGGGAAGCATTATGGAGGTAGTGTCCTGGAGAGCTCTTTAGGAGGCTGGTGTTTTTGTCACCATCATCGAGCTTGCAAGTGGTCACCTTCTAGGGAGGAGTTGGAATTTGCTTGCAGGCAAATCAGCCTTGCAAACGAGTCTCAAAAAACCGCAAGCCCAAACGCATGCGTGCGTACACACACACAATGTTTACAAGCTTTGCCACCGATACGCAAGAGCTAGTCAACGCTTCTGTGTGTATGTGTGGATTTTCAGCTTCTGCTGATTTGTGTGCTTTGGTCTCGATAACAGTTTTTGGGAGCACCCTTTAAGTTGGGAGGTTATTTTTGGAGGTCTGCAACTAGTGCATGGGGGGACCAACTTGTGGGACCCTCCAGATTAGCCTTTCTCAACCTGTGGGTCCCCAGATATTGTTGAACTACAACTCCCATCACCCCTAGCTAGCAAGGCCAGAGCTCAGGGATGATGGGAGTCGTAGTCCAACAACATCTGGGGACCCACAGGTTGAGAACCGCTGCTCCAGATGCTTCCATCAGCCACAGTCAACATGGCCAGTTGTTAGGGAGAATGATGAGTCCAGCAACATCTGGAGTACAGCAGAAAGGCCACCCTTGAACCCCTAGCTGACTTTGGGGTGTATGCAGGACACTGAAAATAGAAACTGCTGAGGGCGAAGGTTGGACTTGGGCTACAGGGGTTTGGGGAATGTGAAGAGGGTGGGTTGAGAGTACCCTGTCGATTGAGAGAGGCTATTTCCCTCTGGAACCCTGTTTTTCATGTTTGTTTTTCTCTTTTTCCACGCAGGAACATCTTCCCTTCCAACTTGGTGTCAGCTGCATTCCGATCGGTGAGTTGCTTAACTCCTCCCAACCTCCCCCTCCCCCACAATTCTCCCCCTCCCATTGAACCCAAGGCAGGCAGTGCTGGATTTTGCGCCAAACACCACGTCGCACAAATCAAAGCATTTGGGTACTTGTGATCCCAGAAGGGGCTTTAACAATCGATTGATTGGCGTTTTCTAACAAAGCTTGACCATTTGCATTGTGGGCTCTTAAGAGGGGCCTGCTGGATGGGGCCAGGGGCCCATCTAGGCCCGCATCCTGTTCTCAGTGGCCAACCAGATGCCTGGAAACAGGATTCAAGCACCAGAGCGCTCTTCCGTCTGGTGGTTTCCTGCGACTGGTATTCAGAAGCTGTGGAGGCAGAGTCTAGCCATGGCTAGTGGCCCTCCATGAATTTGCCAAATCCTTTTCTAGAGTCATCCCGCTTGGTGGCCCTCACTGACTCTGTGATGACCAAGCTAGATAGCTTAATTCGTCTAATCCTCTTCTAAAGCCATATAGAGAGCCCTTTCAGGAGTTGTGATTCTCCAGAAAAGGGAATGGGAGGCTAAGAAAACCCGGGGAGCAGGTGCTTCTTTCCAGAGTGGAGGAAACTAGAACAGGCAACTGCTTCGGTTACAAAACAGCCCGTGCTGCTCAGTTGCCAGGATACGCAATCACTTTGGGACACAAAGCGTACCTTTGCTTTGGAAACCTGAAATAATTTCCATGGGGAGAAGTGCAATGTTCTGGCCAGATCTCAAAGGAACCCTTCCCAGCGTTCAGCATAATATGGCATTGCTACAGAGGTATAAAGCTCCTTAACCAAACCTTCCCCAACCTGCGGACAGACCTAGCCAACGCGGCTGGTTGATGAAGGCAGCCCAATACTGCTTTCTGTTGCAAGCAGCCATCCAGGAAATGTGGGGTCAATGTTTGGAAGAGGCACCTGGCTGCCTGTGGGGAACAGTATCCTTGACTAGATGGACCTTCTCATTTCATCCTGCTGGACTCTTCTTGCATTCTTACGATTTCCCTGTAAACACCTTGGGACTGCTACTAATACTACAACTAATAAATGACAATAGCAATAATTTTATTATTTATACCCCACCCATCTGACTGGGTTGCCCTAGCTGCTCTAGGCAGCTTCCAACAGATATAAAAACATTGTAAAACATCAAACATTAAAAACTTCCCAGTACAGCTTCAGATGTCTTCTAAAAGTTGTGTAGTTCTGTATCTCCTTGACATCCGATAGGAGGGTGATTCTCAGGGAGGGTGCCACTACCGAGAAGGCCCTCTGCCTGGTTCCCTGTAATTTCACTTCTCACAGTGAGGGAACCACCATAAGGCCCTCAGAGCTGGACCTCTGTGTCCAGGTTGAATGATGGAGACGCTCCTTCAGGTATACTGGGCCTTTGAGGCCGTTTGGGGCTTTAAAGATCAGCACCAACACCTTGAATTGTGCTCGGAAACTTGCTGGGAACCAATGTAGATCCTTTAGGACTGGCATTGAATGGTCCCAGCAGCTGCTCCCGGTCACTAGTCTGGCAGCCGCGTTCCAGATTAGTTGTAGTTTCTGGGTCACCTTCAAAGGTAGCCCCACATAGAGCGCAAGGCAGTAGTCTTAAGCAGGAGCTAACCGGTGCATGGACCACTCTGGCGAGACAGTCTGCAGGCAGGAGGACATTGATTTTCAAATCTGGGTTTGCAATGAGTGCCTAATTCCCGAGACTACAAATGCGTTTTGAGCAGGGAACATGAACGGGGAGAGAGAACATCAGGCGTGAGTCTGGAGAGACTCCGGTTCGGATCCCCTCCAGCCACAAATCTCACTGTGTGACCTTGGGCTAATTGCCACCTCCTGGCTTAGCCTTCCTCCCAATGATGCTTTTAACAACAACAAGTAGAGCCCCACTTTCCCAGTAGTGATGTATGGAAGTGAGGGCTGGACCATAAAGAAGACTGATCACCGAAGAATTGATGCTTTTGAATTCTGGTGCTGGAGGAGACTCTTGAGAGTCCCATGGACTGCAAGAAGATCAAACCTCTCCGTTCTAAAGGAAATCAGCCCTGAGGGCTCACTGGAAGGACAGATCCTGAAGCTGAGGCTCCAGTACTTTGGCCACCTCATGAGAAGAGAAGACTCCCTGGAAAAGACCCTGATGTTGGGAAAGATGGAGGGCACAAGGAGAAGGGGACGACAGAGGATGAGATGGTTGGACAGTGTTCTTGAAGCTACCAGCATGAGTTTGACCAAACTGCGGGAGGCAGTGGAAGACAGGAGTGCCTGGCGTGCTCTGGTCCAGGGGGTCACGAAGAGTCGGAAACGACTAAACAACAACAACAAGTAGAGCCCCACAGCTGCATCAGTCTAAAAGCCCACCTCTGGTCCAGCCCCCTGTTCTCAGCGGCCAGGGAGATGCCTCTAGGAAGCCTGCAAGCAGGTTATGCGTTTTGAGCTGCAATGGAGAATTGGTATGTCTGGCAGGAGGTCTCTGGGGTCTCTCCCAGACTTGTAAATCAATATGCCTCTGGCTCCTCTGCTTGCTGCTTTGAAGACAGTGACCGAGAAGTTACGAGTTTCCCTATCTGCAGTGAGCAGTTGCTTGCTGCTTACTCTCACATGCTACTGTCCTAGCAATGTGCTAATTAAACGTCTTCCTTTCCACCAGAGGCTTAAAAAAAAAAAAAAAGAGGCCTTTTGTGTGTGGTTACAAAACGATACCCTCCATTAATGTTCCCCTGCTTTTTATTGACTGTTCTTTGTGATGCATTAATCCTCTTTAGGACGCAGGCAGGGTATGGGCAATGAAGCCAGCTTGGCTTAATTTTTAATAGCCTTGTTAAAGGAACAAAGGTGAATTCCCAGGTCAGATCGCAGGGGACAGATCCAGGCAGCACATGGCGGAAGGACGGCTTCTGCCTGCATCTCCCACCCGTTCAGCTTGGAACTCTTGGCACATCCCTGTAAGGTCTGCTTCCCCACGGCTGAATGTCTAGGGGATGAATAATCTGAATTCTTAACAGATAAATCGATCGGTTAATCTTCCCACTTGTCGAAAAACTCCATACCGGTGTCTTTTTGAGATAATTGGCCAGTTGTTCATCTCCTTTACCCAAGTGGCCTTGGTAGGGTTCAATGAGAAGCCCCCTTTAAGAAATCATTTTCAAACTCCCTAGGACAGTAACGCTCCCAGAACCATTGTCTCCAAGTAAAGGTAAAGGTAAAGGGACCCCTGACCATTAGGTCCAGTCGTGACCGACTCTGGGGTTGCGGCGCTCATCTCGCTTTATTGGCCGAGGGAGCCGGTGTACAGCTCCCGGGTCATGTGGCCAGCATGACTAAGCCGCTTCTGGCGAACCAGAGCAGCGCACGGAAACGCTGTTTACCTTTCTGCTGGAGCGGTACTTATTTATCTACTTGCACTTTGACGTGCTTTCGAAGTGCTAGGTTGGCAGGAGCTAGGTAGGCAGGAGCAACGGGAGCTCACCCCGTCGCGGGGATTCAAACCGCCAACCTTCTGATCAGCAAGTCCTAGGCTCTGTGGTTTAACCCACAGCGCCACCTGCGTCCCAGTGTCTCCAAAGGGTGCCCTTAATATCTCGGCTCCACTGAGCAATTAATCAACACCCACTGTTGGTTGATTTACCAAGCAAAGCTTGCCACCGAACCATCATCTTGCCAGTTGGATTGGGATTGCGGTGGGATATATTGATAATCTGTTTTTCCCCAGCCGCAGGGGAGCGACCAGGGTTTGCACCTTCTGAAAGGGGAGGTGGATGAACTAACAGCCTGCAGTTTTCCTGTCTGTGTTGGAAACATCCACAGAACCCCATGCAAGTACAAAGTGAATTTATTTTCAGCCACAGCTGACATTGTCTTTCCCTCTTTGTGTTTCTCCCCAGTATGCAACCAGTTATAAACTGGTGATAGAGAAGAAGAACAGGACAGGAGTCAGCGAGAATATCACGTTTGGTGAAAACGTAACAGTTGGTGAAACCATCATAGAGACGAAGGTAAGAGGAATGGGATGCACTTGGAACATATATATTTGGATGTGTTGCCTCGGAAAAGAAACCTGAAGCATGTTGGGCTCATTTTCAAGCACCATCCTTGGCAAACAACAGCTCCCAGAATCCTTTGGGGGGGAAACCATGACAGTTTAAAGTGGTATCATAGCACTTTAAAAAGTATGGTATGAATGGGGCCTTGCTGTTCCACTATTTACCCGTGACTCACAAAAGTTAGCGATGAACACTGGCTTGCTTTCGTTTCCACCGTGCCTTTAGCAGGTGACACCCCTGCTTGTCACCACAATTTTCCCACACAGGCCATTTTATGGGTCTCCTCTTTGCTGTTGGCCATGGGACCAGCCACAAAGGCCTGTCCCCTCATTGCCACTGGGTCTCTCGGCTGCCACTGTGCCTCTTCTGGCTTGGTGACCATGTGCTACCGGGTTCTCTGAGGAGAAGTATGGATGTCCTTTAGCTCAGCTGTTTGAAGAAGGGAAGTCAGGGCTGTGTTGAGTAGGGGGGACCATTTGATTCTTTTAGCTGAGGATATGCCAAGGTTTGCATTAGGAATATATTGCGGTTCTACAATAGAATTGTTGAGGAGCGGACCTGCAAAAGCCAGAGTTAAGGGTAAGTGGTCGCTTTCAATCTTATAGCCCACTTGGAACTCTGTGACAAATTTGTATGCAAATCTTGAGATTAGGATATAATCTATGACACTACCGCCAAACTTTGTGGAGTGGGTGTATTCCCCAGGGCAATCCCCCTCTATATTGCCGTTTAGTATCAGCAGGTCCCTCCGCTTTGCAGCCTGGGCTAAGCAAAGCCCTGGGTAATTGCATCTAAGATCTTTAGAAAGGCGGGCAGTACCTGTATCTAAATGGATGTCAGAGTCCAGAAACTGGTTGTAGTGGGTGTATAAGCTGTCATCATTAGCACCCATGCGTGCGTTGAAATCTCCACCAATAATGAGCGGAGCAGCAGGATGGAGGGATTCAAGAGAGGCTATATAGGACTCTAAACCTGCCCAAGTGGCCTTAATTGTTGATTTTTTTTCTGGCAAGGAGATATATAGACGCTGACCAGCAATAAAGAGGCTCTCCTTCTTCCGGGAGAAGTATTCCCTTTCTGAAAAGCACTTGCTGGGCCTTGTTTTCCTGTGGCCCAGGGAGTTGTCGTGGAAGGATACAGAAGAGGCACTCCCTGTGGGTGAGGTGGCAGCTGGTGCTGTTACGCCTCAATCGGTGGTGCCACAGATAGAGAAAAGGGTGGCAGGAGCAGTTTGGGGGGGGGGTAACAGTTGCTGCTGTCCTCCAGTTGTTGCTGACTCGGTGTCAGGGACTGGACTGAGGAGGAATGGTGGAGACCGGCCTCTCCCTCCTGCTGCACTTCCCAGAGAAGAGGAGACAGTATAGATTTAGAACAGTGGTTAGCAGAAGGTCACAGATCAGAGGCTGCAGAGGGGAGAAGCTGGAAAATACTGGGAGAGGAGCAGGAAGAAGCAGCAGCAGGGGAAATTCAGCTAATAGACTGAGTGTCTTTGGAAAGCGTGCCAGACTGGCAGGCATTGAGAGTAGGAGAGCAGAAATCTCAGAGGCAGAAAGCACAGATTAGCCGATGTAGGAATCACGTATAATAGGAGAGACACGGAGAGGGTGGGACTTGGAGCAACGCCACTGTCCAAGAAGCGACATCTCTATGCCTCTCTCTGTGAATATTAAATAAAATACTTTGGTAAGAATGTCTTGTTTTCCCATTTCTGGCAGCCGGCCGTGAGGATTCCTAGAAGCCTGACACTTGGTGGTTGTGGTAAATGGTGGAATAAGCAGATGAGGCAAGGAGGGGCAGGAGCAGCATGCTTCCCTGGTCTTCTTGGAAGTATGGGGGTGTGCTGCTGTAAACCTTCCCCCCAACTGCTGCATCCTCAGGACAAATTATTTGCTTGCTATAATCTCAAGGATATGGCTGTTGTGTTCAGACGTCTGCCTTGAGGGCAGGGAAACCCTCGACCGCTTTTCAAATCCCTGGCTGTTTTTGTGACGGAAGCCTTTCCTCCCTCTTGCCGTCCCCTTAGATCCCCACAGGCACAGAGGTGGAAGGGATGAACATCCTGGGCCTGGTGGTCTTCGCCATCGTCTTTGGGATTGCTCTGCGGAAGCTCGGGCCGGAAGGCGAGAACCTGATCAAGTTCTTCAACTCCTTCAATGAAGCCACGATGGTTCTCGTCTCCTGGATCATGTGGTAAGGAGGCCGCCCGGTCCATATTTCCCCAGGAGTCTCATAGGGGAACAGTGCAGGTGGAGATAAAATGTTAACGCAGAAGAGTTGGTTGCAAGGCCTCTCTGGTCTGGGTTTTGTGCATTCCTGTGAAGTTCTCTGCCAAACTGATGTAGCAAAAGCTGATTTCTGATACAGTGGTACCTCGGGTTAAGAACTTAATTCGTTCTGGAGGTCTGTTCTTAATCCGATCGCCGCCACACAATTTCTGTTCTCATCCTGCAGCAAAGTTCTTAAACCGAGGTACTATTTCTGGGTTAGTGGAGTCTGTAACCTAAAGCGTCTGTAACCCGAGGTACCACTGTACATGTGTGGTGCAATCACATCTTACGTGGAAGTTTGTTTGTAAGGGTTCCACGTATACATGAAAATCGCATCTACCCAAAGCCTTGGAGCCACCCCATAGCTTGGGGGGGGGGAGAAGCCCCAGTATCCCCAGAGTCTGCACATCAAGCAGGCTTTGCCCTCCAGGCAACACGAACTGTTAAAAAACTCTTTTTACACCGGGAAACCCCAAGCAAACCTGGCACAAAAAGAACTTTCAAGCTCTCCGCTTCGCTTGAATTTAACTTGTGAAATTTCAAACAGTCTGCCCTCAATTGCATATGGTTGAAATCTTGTGAGTTAAACGCTTGTAAGATGCAATCGTACTGTACTCTCATACCTTGGAAGTCAAACGGAATCCGTTCCGGAAGTCCATTCGACTTCCAAAACATTCGAAAACCAAAGTGCGGCTTCTGATTGGCTGCAGGGAGCTCCTGCAGCCAATCGGAAGCTGTGGAAGCCCCGTTGGATATTCAGCTTCCAAAAATAGTTCGCAAACTGGAACAGTCACTTCCAGGTTTGCGACGTCCGGGAGCCGAAACATTTGGGAGCTAAGCAGTTTGAAAACCAAGGTACGACTGTGTATATGTTATGCAGACTAAGGAAATTAGAAAGATGCATCAGTTATTCTGTATTTGCTAGTGGCAGTGCAGGGGGAGGCGTTGAAGTCCTGCCTCATCACTCCTAGAACTTCTCCAGCTTCTGATATCTTACCAGGTGTTGCTCATAGCCATAAAGGCCACTTGGCAACTGTTGTAGCTGCGTGGAGATTTTCTTATTTTTCTGTCCTGCCTGCTGATCTGCATCACGTTCACCCAGTGCTATACCAGCTGCACTGGCTCCCAGTGGAGTACAGGATCAGGTTTAAGGTGCTGGTTTTAACCTTTAAAGCCCTAGATGGCCTAGGACCCTCATACCTACAGGACTGCCTCTCCTGGCATGTCCCACGGAGGACCTTACGGTCTTCAAACAAAAACATCTTGGAGGTCCCAGGCCACAGAGAGGTTAGGCTGGCCTCAACCAGAGCCAGGGCTTTTTCGGCCGTGGCCCCAATCTGGTGGAACTCACTGTCACAAGAGACCAGGGCCCTGCGGGACTTGACATCTTTCTGCAGGGCCTCCAAGAAGAGCTGTTCCACTAGGCCTTTGGCCAAGGCACGGCCTGACCCTCTCCTTCGGTAATCCTCACAGAACTCTAGCCCAATGGTTGCCATTAATTTTATTTGAACTGATTTTATAATGAACTGATTTTAGAATGTTGTATTATTTTACTGTTGTTAGCCGCTCTGAGCCCGGCTTTGGCTGGGGAGGGCGGGATATAAATAAAATTTGTTGTTGTTGTTGTTATTTATTATTATTATTATTATTATTATTTATTATTATTATTTATTAGGTCTCAGTGGTGTTCTTGCTGATCCTCCTCTCTCTCTCCTTCCAGGTACGCCCCCCTGGGTATCATGTTCCTGGTAGCTGGCAAGATTGTGGAAATGGAGGATGTGGTTGTCCTCTTCACCAGCCTGGGCAAGTACATCTGCTGCTGCCTGGTGGGCCATGCCATCCACGGTCTCATCGTCCTGCCAGCCATCTACTTCATCTTCACCCGCAAGAATCCTTACCGGTTCCTTTGGGGCATCTTCACTGCCCTGGCCACCGCCTTCGGCACTTCCTCCAGGTATTTATGAGCTGGTTGCGGCTCCAGAAAGCCAGGAGAATGGGGTGCAGGTTTAAAAGGACACCTGTTGCATAGCCAAAGGGGGGGGGATTTGCTTGGAGTGAATGGTACTCAAATGTCAGGCAGGGAGGTCGGCTGAATCTCTGCTTCCTTCCCACCTTCCCCCCCCATTAAATCCTTTATTGAAATTCATAGATATCATACAGTATCTTAAATCCACATATACAAAGGAAAAAAATAACCTTACATAAATTTACTCTTTCCATTTTCTAACTAAAGTAAAATAAAATAAAGTAAACCCCATTATTTCCCAATGTAATTGACGTTTGTAATATTGAATGTACTTACAATTCCTACTTTACTCTTAATATATTTTCTAATACTTTCTTACAACATGTACCATTTCCCCCATATTTCTTAATATTTACTTTACACAAGAGGTAGGGTCATTCGAACGCTGCCATGGATATTATATCACTGTTACAAATTTGTAAATATCTCTTGAACATATCCCATTTTTGAATAAATGGTTGTTTTGTATTACCCCTTAGTTTATTTGTCAATAGAGCCATTTCTGCGTAATCCAGTAATTTGTTCCGCCATTCCCTTAATGTTGGTACTTTCCCCCCTTTCCAGTTTGATGCAATTAGTAATCGGGTGGCGGCTGTTCCGTATAAGAAGATTTCTCTTATATTTTTTGGGATATCTCTACCTGAACAACGTCAGGAAACAGTTTCAGCAATAATAATAAAAAAGCAAAGGCATATAAAGTCTGTGTGAACCCTACCCTGGAAAGCTCATGGGCACAGAATTAACAGAGGTGGGTGGGAGCTCTCTTGAAGGCAAGGAACTGTGCAGCTTGGGTGCCACCACTGAGAAGGCTCACCTTTGCATGTGGACGGAGGCAGCCCTTAAGGGGTCCTGCACTGTGATTTATTCCATGTTGGAACTGGTGGGAGTTGTGCTGCGCCTGTGAGCTGTTTCAGGAGCACTCTCTCTCTCTGCCCACGTTCTCAAGCCACCTCTTCCTCCTCGCAGCTCTGCCACCCTGCCCCTGATGATGAAGTGTGTCGAGGAGAAGAACGGCGTCTCGAAGCACATCAGCCGCTTCATCCTGCCCATCGGGGCCACGGTCAACATGGACGGGGCTGCCCTCTTCCAGTGCGTGGCTGCCGTCTTCATCGCCCAGCTCAACAACAAGCCTCTCAACTTCATCCAAGTCATCACCATCCTGTGAGTATTCCGACCAGTCTCCCTTCGGGCTCAAATGGTGGTCCTTAGAAGCCCATGCACCTTGCACAACCTGTTCCCTCCCCTTTCCCCAAACAGACAAAGCCCACCACCCATAGACTGTGGCCCACCTTGCCAAGCTGCTGGCAGGCTGCCTTCGCTGTATGTGCTTAATAATAATAATAATTTATTATTTGTACCCCGCCCATCTGGCTGGGTTTCCCCAGCCACTCTGGGTGGCTTCGACAAAGACCAAAAATACACTAAAATATCACACATTAAAAACTTCCCTGAACATGGCTGCCTTAAGATGTCTTCTGAATGTCAGGTAGTTGTTCTTCTCTTTGACATCTGATGGGAGGGCGTTCCACAGGGTGGGCGCCACTACCAAGAAGGCCCTCTGTCTGGTTCCCTGTAACTTGGCTTCTCACAATGAGGGAACCACCAGAAGGCCCTCGGCACTGGACCTCAGCGTCCGGGCAGAACGATGGGGGTGGAGACGCTTCTTCAGGTATACTGGGCCGAGGCCATTTAGGGCTTTAAAGGTCAACACCAACACTTTGAATTGTGCTCGGAAACGTACTGGGAGCCAGTGTAGGTCTTTCATACCCGGTGTTATATGGTCTCGGCGGCCACTCCCAGTCACTAGTCCAGCTGCCACATTCGGGATTAGTTGTAGTTTCCGGGTCACCTTCAAAGGTAGCCCCACGTAGAGCGCATTGCAGTAGTCCAAGCGGGAGATAACTAGAGCATGCACCACTCTGGCAAGACAGTCCGCTTTTTTCGTTCTTCCTCTCACTGTTCACCGTGGGGTTGCTCAAACACCCACATTCTCCTAAGACTTTTCTGCAAAACCAGCCCATTTGATCTGCACCAGGTGGGCCTTCCATTCCTTGGGCGCATTGGGTGAGGAAGAGAGACTAGACAAGCCACAAGCAAACAGCAAGCACATTTAAGTCGTTGAGCTTGAGCATCAGGGCAAATATTCCTCTACATCAGCACGGTTTAATATTGTGGAATTTTGAAAGGTGGATGGCGGGTGGCTGGTAGCCCCTGCCACATCCTGGAAATCAAGGGGAAGCAAGAGGGCAGGTTGAAGAAAACAAAGAGGAGATTCCGTTTTCCAAAATGATGGTTCCTGCACAAATTTCTCATGGTGATTTCCTGTCCTGGAGCTGCAGGAAGTGAGCTTTGGGAGCAAGGAAGGGGGTTTGTGCAGCCTGTTCAGATAACCAGCTCCCAGAATTTCAACTTCCTGCTGGTGAAGCAGGTGGTGATAATCCACACAGGTTCTAAGACCCCTCTGCCCTTTCCTTCCCGGTAGAATGAGAGTGTGAGTCTGCCAGAGGGCACGTGCTATCTTGATGCTTTAGTGCAGGGGTCGGCAACCTAAGGCCCGTGGGCCACAAGCTGCCCACGGGGGTCGTTTAACTGGCCCACGAGCTGCCTGCTTGGCAAGTCCCCGTGTGCTGCCCTAAACCAGCACAGCATGGCACGGGGACTCGCTTCCGCAGCACCGGAAATCGCGGGCGCGGTCTGGCCCACAGAAGGATCTCTGCTGGAGTGAACTGGCCCAGGCAAGGTAAACCTTGCTGACCCCTGCTTTAGTGGGATATAAAGTCGGCTGCAGAAAAAGGGATCATGAGGCCGCTGCAGAAACAAAGGGGGGATTTATGCTGGGAGGTAGCCTTGGTCCACCCAGAATGGATGGACTGGGGGTTTGGGGAGATGAAACCTTAAAAAAAAATTGTGGCAGGAACAACCAGAGTTTGGTGTGCACTGAAGTGACTGGCTGGGCAGACCAGTGTAGCTGAGCATTTGACAGGCACTTGACTTGACAGGCTGCCTCTGTAAAGCTCTCTGGGTCGATCTTAAGGACTAGGAACCTGGACGAAAATTGAGGCCACTCAGCATGTAGTGGGTTGGTTCTGCACCCAGGACCAAATTCTGAACTTGTTCAGGACTTGATGCGGCAAACACAGAAACTCTTTTCTAGTCTCTAGGGTTTTATTTGCCTGGCCAAACACTAGACACCTGCCGCTTCTCCAAGCTCCTCTAATCTTTAAGCCTTCTGCTGTTTCTGCCACGTCAATACCCAATTCCTACAATGATGATGATCAGCTGAACTAAATTGTCAAGCACCAGCACAAATGCTCCTCTACATCAATACTGTTTAATAGTGCAGAATTTTGAGGGGTGAATAGCTGGTGGTTTGTGGAGCTGTACATCTCTAGCTCCACCCCCCCCCCCAAATATCTCTCACACACTCTATGCAGTGCTTGATTGCAATAATAATAAAAAACCACTCACAACGCAATTTACAAAAGATTAAACAGCAAAACTTAGAAAAATGTACAATTTCTATTCCTCATGACTAGAAGAGATGCACTCAGCAAGGCTACTTGAGCTTCTGCTTGGATTTGCCACTCGAGCCCTTCTCCTGCTGCGCTTCTCATCCCCTTCCTCCCCCTATCAGAATGATAACTCTTCTTTAAAACTCCTCTATCAAGGTTGGAATAAAATAGGGGTCAGCAGTTAGATTGACCAAGGAATGGCTAGAGACTTTCCTTGGCACAGTATTTTGCTTTTTTTTAACAGACGTGTCGAGGGCAGAAAACCTTTGCAGACTGTTTTTTTGGGTGCATTTTTTTAAAAAAGCAATTGCAAGTAAAACACTGTTTTCTCCAGTTCAGGAGGTGGACCTGTCCCTCCTGGCCTCAAGGTGCTTAATCATCAACTGTGTCTGAGGCCATTTGTTGCGGCATAGGGCAGTAAGAAAACTGCAGGCTTAGGCAGAACTTGCGACCAGAAGGGGTCCGGGAGGGAGCTGGGAGGTTCTGCTCAACTGACCTCTGCTCTGCTGGAGGCAGGATTTCAGCTGGGGCTGTTTTTGCTCCTGGCTGGTCATCCGTCCATGTTTGTTCCTCTGTCTTGGGTTAAAAGTGCAGGCCCCCTCCACCCCCCCAAAGATCCAGCTCTGCATTCTGCAAACCAAGTTCCAGTCCAGTTTGTGTGTCTCGGTCAACAGCATCACGTGCCACAGATGTGGCAAGCTGCTTTTGGACCCTGAGGGGATTCTCAAGAACGCTTTTGTCACTGCATGCCAGCCACGAGGAACTCAAGCAATTCGTTGGGGCTGCCGTGTGTTTTTTTTTAAGGGGTGCTGAGGAAGAGAGGGAGAGCTGTGCCCCTCTCATCACCCTCCGTTGCATTGCAAAGGATCCCACAGCAGATGAACCTCTCAGTATTGCCCCCCTTAACAAGACTGCTGTCCGAAAGGGGTGGGAGACACACAATACCTAAGAGATTAAATAATAATAATAGTGTGTGTTTACCCTAAACTAGTTCTTTGGAGTCTAGACCAGTGTGATTTTCTTTTTCATTCATTCTTTATACAATCATACCTTGGGTTACAGATGCTTCGGGTGGTGCGATTTCGGGTTGCGCACTACGCCGAACTCGGAAGTACCGGAACGGGTTACTTCTGGGTTTCGGCGCATGCGCAGAAGCGCTGGATCGCAACCCGCACGTGTGCAGATGCAGCGCTGCAGGTTGCAAACGTGCTTCCCGCATGGATCACGTTCGCAACCCGAGTGTCCACTGTACAGTGCCAGAAATGCAGGGAGGGAGGCTTTTAATTTGTCATTTGACGCAGGGAGACAACTGCAGTGGAATTCCCTCCCTTAACAGGCCAGACTAGCCCCATCACCGATGGTCTTGAGGCAGGCAGGCAGTTAAAACTGAAATTTCATCTGTGTTGCAGGCTACTTTAGGGGTCTTTGTTAGGATGGAAAAGTGCTCTCAGAAGCAGATTACAAATTGGTGATGAGGAGGCCTCTGGGTCTCCTTTATTCTGCTATGTGGACTTAGGTTTGGCTATTGCAGAGCAGCCTTCGCTGACCTGGTGCCCTCCAGATGTTTGGGACTACAGCTCCCATCAGCCCCAGCCAGCAAGGCCACGCTCCCACCCACCTCTGCATCATACAGCTGTGCTGGAGGGGCTAATGGCAGTCATAGTCCAGAACATCTGGAGAGCCCTGAATTGGTGAAGGTGGCTGTTGAGCATGGGGCACCACTGCTACCCAGCTGGCTTGGGTAGGAAGACCTGTAAGAGGCGCCACAGAGGAGATCGCCTTGTTGCAGCATCATGGAGGAGCTGAAGGCAGCCTTCGCCAGGCTTGTGGCTCTATGGGAGACAGTGCCACTGGTTTTCTCATGCCTAGGGTGAAGAGACGGACTCTTTAATCTAGGGTGTGGTGCCTGATTCATTCTTGACCCTGCCTAGTGGTGTGTTTTTGTATTCCCCAATTGCCAGCTAATCTGGTTAATACCTGAAGGAGCGTCTCCACCCCCATCGTTCTTCCCAGACACTGAGGTCCAGCTCCAAGGGCCTTCTGGCGTTTCCCTCCCTGTGAGCAAGTGAGGTTACATGGGACCAGGCAGAGGGCCTTCTTGGTGGTGGCACCTGCCCTGTGGAACACCCTCCCTTCAGATGTCAAGGAAATAAACAACTACAGTGGTACCTCAGGTTAAGTACTTAATTCGTTCCAGAGGTCCGTACTTAACCTGAAACTGTTCTTAACCTGAAGCACCACTTTAGCTAATGGGGCCTCCTGCTGCTGCTGCACTGCCAGAGCACAATTTCTGTTCTTATCCTGAAGCAAAGTTCTTAACCTGAGGTAATATTTCTGGGTTAGCGGAGTCTGTAACCTGAAGCGTATGTAACCCGAGGTACCACTGTATCTGACTTTTAGAAAACATCTGAAGGCAGCCCTGTTTTGGGAAGTTTTTAATGTTTGATGTTTTATTCTGTTTTTAGTGTTCTGTTGGGAGCTGCCCAGATGGGCGGGGTATAAATTATTATTGTTATTATTAATTATTATTATTAGGCATGATTCTCCAGAATGCCAAGAAATGGTAAATTGTGAGGGTTAGGGTGGTGTAGAGAGGAACTCGAGTGCACAAACAGGTCATAGTTTGAATAAGGAACCTAGAAGGAGGAAATCTTTGGCCAAGGGTCCAAAAACCCAGGCACCCAGTTGCCACTGGTTACTAAAATTTGGAGTAATGCTTGAGTTTCCAGAAGTTGGCTGATCTCTCCCTACCCATCACTGACTGAATTTATGCTGGTCTGTCTAGGATCTGCTTGCTGCCTTGTCCTGTTCTCAACCAGTAGCCACTTCCTAGAGAAAGGGTTTCCCAGTTAGAGCTCTGATCTCTCTTGGCTAAGCTGTGGAAGGAAGGAAGGAAGGAAGGAAGGAAGGAAGGAAGGGTGGGTGATCAGGCCCACTTGGGGCTCTGATGTCCTTCCAAACCGGCTGCCACAAAATCTGGCTGGTGCCTTCGGCTTTGCAAAAGTTACCGTATTTTTTGCTCCATAAGACACACTTTTTTCTTCCTCAAAAGTAAGGATAAATATATGTGCATTTTATGGAGCGAATGCATGGTCCCTGGAGCCGAATTAAGGTACCCCTACCCATATGGGCCAGTCGTGACCGACTCTAGGGTTGTGCGCTCATCTCACTTAAGAGGCCGGGAGCCAGCGCTGTCCGGAGACACTTCCAGGTCACGTGGCCAGCGTGACGAAGCTGCTCTGGCGAGCCAGCACCAGCGCAGCACACGGAAACACCGTTTACCTTCCCGCTATAAAGCAGTACCTATTTATCTACTTGCACTTAGGGGTGCTTTCGAACTGCTAGGTGGGCAGGAGCTGGGACCGAAAGACGGGAGCTCACCCCGCCACGGGGATTCGAACCGCCGACCATGCGATCGGCAAGTCCTAGGCACTGAGGTTTTACCCACAGCGCCACCCGGGTCGGAGCCGAATTGCCCAGGGGCAAAAAGCAGATCATGCTTTTTTTTTTTTTTTGAAAGAGGGGAGTGGGTGTTGAAACAAAGCCGCTGATCGTTTGCCGATCGGGGAGAGAGATAAGGGATGCTAGAGATGAAGGAGGCTGCCTGGGAGTGGGGAGGTAAAGACAGCAAACTTGCAAAGGGGGGAAACAGGAAGACTAAAGCAATAAGGAGAGAAATTAGAAGAAAAGGAGGAGCAAAAAACTGCTCTAACTAAGGAAAAGACACTAAGGCAAACAAGAGGAAAGGGTGTGATGAAAGCAAACAGCTGATTGGTGGGATCGGCAGAGAGATAAGGGACATTAGCGGAGGCTGCCTGGGAGGGGGGGGGAGGTAAAAGCCCATGGATCCTCAGGATTTTTACATTGGGTCACCCCAAATTCACCATCAGATCACATGTCTGTGGCCACAGCATGAACCACAAAAATCATACAATCACTGTTTCGTTTAGAATATTTTTTTCTTGTTTTAATTTAAAAACTAGGTGCGTCTTATGGTCAGGTGCGTCTTATGGAGCAAAAAATATGGTGCCCTCCTCTCTCCCTGCTGCTTTGGGTTTCCCCCGCACTCTCCAGATAAAGACCAAATCCTGCACTTCAGCATCAAGAAGGACACATCTCTTAACCTGCCCCCTTCCATCCCACAGAATTACTGCGACGGCGTCCAGCGTCGGAGCTGCTGGGATTCCTGCGGGTGGCGTCCTCACCCTCGCCATCATCTTGGAAGCTGTCGGGCTGCCCACCAACGACATCTCCCTCATCCTGGCAGTGGACTGGCTTGTGTAAGTACCGCGGGGGCAAAGTTTGAGGGAGAGGCTCAGCGATCAGGAGCGACTGGCGATTTCCCTGACTGATGTTCATCGCAGGGTTGGCAGGCTGGCTAGTCCCAACTTCCCCGCCAAAAGACGGGATCTTTTTCCCTCCCGCCTCCTTGCTAGTTCCCCTTCCGGTCCTCTTCTTCTTGTGTTGGCCTCATTCTGCAAGCTTAGAGGAGGGACTTTTGCAGCAAGTGGCTCAAGGGAAAGGCCCCAGGTTCACATAGGAAAGCAGAAGCCATTGCCTAGAAAGGAGGCGGTAGGTAACCAGTTGAATCTTCTGCAAATAATCCTCCAAGGACAATTTTTTGGGGTGGGGCGTTTGGCTGGACAAACCTGCCTTGGACCAAGGCCACATTTGCACCATACACTGTTAAAAGATGCCATATAATGCCCATTCTGCGTTTATAAGAATTCGATCTTTTAGCGTGGCAACACCTAAACTTGAACTCGCTGCCCGTTGACATCACCCGTGCTCCCACAGGGTTCTCTTTTTGTCACCTTCCGAATTTTGTTTCATTGATCAGACAAGGCTACCCAGATGCTTAGAACGTTGATGTGCGTTTTGATCTGTTTTTAGTTTATTGCTGATTTTAATTCTTAAATAGTTTTTTTAGCTGTTTTTGCCGTTACTTTTACTGTTTCCTCCTTGTAAACCACGTTGAAGGTTTTTTAAAAATTTTTACAAACAAGCTGTGTATAGGTTTTATGAAATAATAAAAATCAATACAATTAAAGGGTTATGATTCCGCTTTCAACAACGGCTTTGCCTGGAAAATCCTGGGAGCTGTAGTTTATTCAGGGTGCAGAGAGTTGTTAGGAGACACTCCTATTCCCCTTCACAGCTACAATTCCCAGAGTTGCCTGTAAAGAAGGATTGATCATTAAACTACTCTGGGAATTGTAGTTCTGGGAGGGGAACAGAGTCTCCTGGCAACACTCTGTGCAAACCAAAGCTCCCAGAATTACTCAGGGGAAGCCGTTCCTGTTTAAAGTGGTATCAGTGCGCTTTCTATGGATGGTGCAGATGTGGCCAAAATCGGGCTGCTGGTCTGTCCAGCCCTGTAATCAGAGTGGAAGTAGCAGCTCCCCAAAGATTCAAGCAGGGGTCTTTTCCAGCTTTGCTGCCTGACGAGGTCTTTTCAAGCACAGATGCAGTGTTGAATGGGGAACCTTCTGACTCTGAGCCATTTTTCTTGCTTTTTTTTTTTTTAACCCAGTCTCTCTGGGGAGGAATCAAGCAGGTCTCTCCTCCAATATGTCCCCGGGATGCTCATTTACCCGCTGAGCGGTGTGTTTTGTTCGTGGCGGCCAGGGGGTGTATTTGTCCAACTGACTTGTCCAGTATGGCTGGCTGGGCCAGGTGTGCTGGGGGGGCCTCAGAGGAAAGGTTAAAAGCAGCTGAGCATTTAGCTTTTCCTCCTGTCGCTTGGGGGAATCTGCACATGGCGCAAGAATACAGGAAGGGCCCGGCTGGATCTGGCCCAAAGGTCTTGCCTGGTTCAGCAGCCACATGCCTGTGCGTGTTCTTAAGCGGGGCACAAAGGTCTCAGCCTTTCCCTCGCTGCGAGAAGCCAAGTTACAGGGAACCAGGCAGAGGGCCTTCTCGGTAGTGGCGCCCTGCCTGTGGAACGCCCTCCCACCAGATGTCAAAGAGAACAACAACTACCAGACATCTGAAGGCAGCCCTGTTTAGGGAAGCTTTTAATGTTTGATGTATTACAGTATTTTAATATTTTTTTGGAAGCCGCCCAGAGTGACTGGGGAAGCCCAGCCAGATGGGCGGGGTATAAATAATAAATTATTATTATTATTATGATTATTATTCCCTGCTGTTTGTCTGGTTCTCAGAGATAGATTGCTCCTGAACATGGAGGCTCTTTGTCCAGTGAATGTTGCTAACAACCCTTATTGCTTAACCCCGAGCACCTCAGTCATTGCCTCTTTCTTTTGCACCAGGGATCGCACCTGCACCGTCCTAAACGTGGAAGGCGATGCTTTTGGCGCTGGGCTCCTGCAGGTGTACACCGAAAGGACGGAAGGCAAGGCAGAGGCAGAGGAGCTGATGGAGATCAAGACGGACGCCGGCAAGGAAGTGGGGGCGGAAGAAGGCTCCCCACTGATCAAGAGGGACGGGCCTGCCCCCTTGGAGGGCATCAACTCCTGCGAAAAAGAATCTGTGATGTAAAGCAGCCTACGAAGAGGCTAGACTTCTTTTTTTTAAAGTTAGGGTTCCATTTTTAAGGACAGCTCCCGAATCTGCTCCACCTTTGAAAGACTTCTGTTTCCCATAAGAAGCAAGGGCAGGCGGTTTGGTGATGGGGAACTTCTTTGATTTTCACCCAGCACACTCCTTTCCACCTTTTTTTAATGACTGATTTTTCACACAGTGCTTTTAAAATTTCAAACGGGACTTTCCCCCCTGAAAAATGTCAATGTTGGGGGCTTGATGCTGCCTGAAATAGCTCTGCTTGGCTGGAAGCCTCTCCCTCTTTAAGGAGATGAGGGTTGGGGGTGCTGTTGCTCAGGAGAAAGGGCACTCTGGATATTCTCAGAGGCACAATACTTTGCACGTTCCAGGCTGAACCCTTAAGTTTTTAAATCTGCAACGTGGAAACTGGTAGCAGTGACTCTGGAGGTCTCTTAATATCACTCTTTTCCTTCTTCCAGATCTCTAGCTACCTTTGCTGCTTTTTATTTTATTTTATTTTGTGTTTTGGACCAAGCAAGGGGGGTGGGTGTTGTCCTTTCCGTGTCTAGTATCTTTGACTCCCTCCCATTGTCGTCACCCCCTTTTTAGTTACATTTCATTGCAGGAAGAGGAAGCAGTCTGCTTTATTTCCGGACAGATTTATTCTCCCCTGGCCCACCCCACAATTCAATAACTTGAGCAGTGCACCGCTTGAACCTATAAATACCTATCGTCAAACAGGAATGGGCGGGGGGAGAGAATTTCTTTCTGCCTTTTACAATTTCTTCGCTGCCTTTCTGCCTTTTACAATTTCTCTACGAATCCTAATGCCAAGGTTGTGCGATGTGCAATTGAACACTGAGAGTCACCGCTGGGTCGCTGGGATTTCTGCCATCCCCTGCAAAGCCAACTTTCCTTGAATTGCTTAAAACCTACATATTTTCCTCCCTTCTTCCCTGCTTGGGTCATCATGTGCAAAAACTAGACAGTACTCCAGTGCTCTCTTGAAGTGGCAACTCCTGGTTCCAACAGCTGCGATGCAATTTAATTTATTTCTGGAACTTGAAAGGATCCGAATTGTGTTTTTTCTCTCCACGATGGAATTAAAGGGGCAGGGCAACGTTAGGAGGTCAAAGAGAGTGAGCGAGACTGGAGTAGCTTCAGAGGTAAGAGATAACCTCTGGGGCTCCGTTTCCCATCACCTTTATTCCAGTCTTGTGCCGAACAGCCGCTGCTGTGCAAGTGGGCAGGCTTTGCAGGAGCTGGTGAGTGGTGGCCCCCCTGGACCAAATTTTCAGCGCTGCCTGGCCTGTGCAAAGCCCAGCAGACGCTGAAGCAGACATTAGCAGTGAGGAAGAAAGGGAGGAAGCACCACCGGCGATGGGACAGAGTAGGAAAAGTGGTGGAATCTTTGGATAGGTGTGTGTGCAGGAGGTGAACCTCCAGAGCCCTTCTGCCTTCCTTGCAGTGGCTGACAAAGGCCTGGCAGCACCCCCACAGAGAACTGCAGGGCCTTAACTTAAAGCAAATATATGCTTATGCACACACAGGGTCACTTGGAAACTGTGGCTGGGCCTGCAGCCTTGTCCTTGTCTCACACGCAGGCTTAGACTTTGACCGATGGAATCTTTTGTACCTTTTCAAGTGTCTGCAATCTTGAGGACTGGGAACTTAGCTGAGAATCGTCTGATTCTCCCATACGGCCTCAGTCCAGTATACCTGAAGGAGCGTCTCCACCCCCATCGTTCTGCCTGGACACTGAGGTCCAGTGCCGAGGGCCTTCTTGTGGTTCCCTTGCTGCGAGAAGCCAAGTTACAGGGAACCAGGCAGAGGGCCTTCTCAGTAGTGGCGCCCGCCCTGTGGAACGCCCTTCCACCAATGTCAAAGAGAAAAACAACTACCAGACTTTAGAAGACATCTGAAGGCTGCCCTGTTTAGGGAAGCTTTTAATGTTTAATAGATTATTGTATTTTAATATTCTGTTGGAAGCCGCCCAGAGTGGCTGGGGAAACACAGGAAGATGGGTGGGGTATAAATAATATATTATTATTATTATTATTATTATTATTATTATTATTATTATTGGCATTGGATTCTACCGGGGCATATCTACTTCCAGATGCTGGTGCCTTATGCCTCCACAATGCCCTGTGCAGATCCAGAATGCATACTATAATAATAATAATTTATTATTTATACCCCAGCCACTCTGGACAGCTCCCAACAGAATATTAAAAACACATATAAGATCAAAGATTTAAAAACTTCCCTAAACCGGGCTGCTTTCAGATGTCTTCTAAAAGTCAGAGAGTTGTTTATTTCCTTGACATCTGATGGGAGGGCGTTCCACAGGGCGGGCGCCACTACCTTTTGCTGATGAAAATGTGGGTTTGGCCGCAGGCGCTCATAACCTGGCCAATAGCTGCCTGAAGCATATCAGTGGAGATGTTTTGCAGTCTTAAAAAAAAATAAAAATCATTAGAATGTCAGAACTTTTAAATCCGACTTCAGTGTTTTGAACTGTAGATCTTATTGATTAGTTGGATGCAGTCTCTTCCATTTTGGCCATGCAGGACTCCTTAGTAGGCTTTGTGTGTCAAAATTCAGAGGTAGGCTTCAAGTGGGGTCTAGGCAAACACCAGTTGCTGCATGGGGCAATTAGGTTTTGGTCTCACAATGCACTGGAAGCAGATATTCTGGTCATGCTCCTTTAAGATCTTCCTGCTGCTGGAATGTTACTTGATGGATGCGCGAGAGAAAGGGCTGCCTAGTCCCCTTCTTTAGTTACTCTTCTAAAGCATATAAGAAGTTAGGGAGAGCCATCTGTTGGCAAAATTGATCAATCTGTTGTTAACCGCCCTGTGATCTTTGGATGAAGAGCAGTATACAAACTTAAATAATAGTAATAATCTCTGATGGGTTTATGCTCCTCCATCTAGCAACTTTCTCCTTTAGAAGTTCTTGTGGTTGTGCAAAGGAGACTTAAGGAAGAGGTCAACAGGGTTGTGTTGAAACGCAGTTCTGCACAGCGGAAAATGCTGGACTGGTAGACGATGTGTGAATTAAATGTACCGTATTTTTCGCTTTATAAGACACGCCAGACCATAAGACGCACCTAGTTTTTGGAGAAGGGAAACAAGAAAAAAAATATTCTGAATCTCAGAGGCCAGAACAACAAGAGGGATTGCTGCGCAGCAAAAGCAGCGATTCCTCTTGCTGTTTTGGCTTCTGGGATAGCTGCACAGCCTGCATTCGCTCCATAAGATGCACACACATTTCCCCCTTACTTTTTAGGCGGGAAGAAGTGAGTCTTATAGAGCAAAAAATACGGTATTCACTTTGTGAACATCATAATAATGTTGCAAGGACGGCAAAAGTAGGTATTTTCACCTCTGACTGCTGAAAGTTGTAGATTCTGAAATACTTATACAGTGGTACCTCGGGTTACATACGCTTCAGGTTACAGACTCCGCTAACCCAGAAATAGTACTTAACCTGAAGCACTCTGCTTCAGGATGAGAACAGAACTCCTGTGGTGGCACAGCAGCAGCGGAGCACGCTCTGCTCATTAGCCTGAAGCAAAGTTCTTAACCTGAAGCACTATTTCTGGGTTAGTGGAGTGTGTAACCTGAAGCGTATGTAACGTGAAGCGTATGTAACCCGAGGTACCACTGTATAAGCAGTAAGAGTTAGGAACTTCCTTTTTCTCTAAAATAAAAGCTACTGTTTTGTGACTGGTTCACCACCTGCATGCAATAGCACATAATGTCCAAATATGTGCAAAGTTCTCCTGGTGAGAATTCTGGAGTTCTCCCTTCGTGCCAACAGAGCTCCCCACCTGTTTGGGCAGGAATGGTGTTTTAAGTGTTCTCTGAGTGGGCGGAGATCGCTGGCATTAAACAGGAGCTCTCTAGATTGCACCTCCGCACGGATTTGTGCCAAGAAGAAGAAGAGGAGTTTGGATTTGATATCCCGCTTTATCACTACCCTAAGGAGTCTCAAAGCGGCTACCAAGGCTTCCCCTGCCAAAGCAACTTTTATGATCATGCCTGCTGAGATCAGATCTCCAGATGAGGGGTGGAAACATCTGCCGTCACTTTTGGGGGCACAGGCTGTACTACATCAAAGCCCAGAGCCTGTAAGTTTCAGGGTTTGAACTTTTGGTTCTTGCAAGTCCAGGTGTGACTTAACGGAGAGAGAGAAGTGTGGGACTCTGGGATAGGGGAAAGAAGCAAAGGCTTCTGGCAGGGCTGTGTGTTCTATCCCTCATTGCTTCAACGATACAATTCTAAGCGGATAAGTGGTTAAGGTACACAGCCCTTGGGTGTGGGGATCCAGGGTCTTCCTCCTTTCCGTGGCTAGCAAAGCCAAAATGAAATTGTGCACAGACTGCAAAATAAAGTGTACAAAACATGAAACGACGCCAGTTTTATCCGTGTGCCTGATTTACATACAGGATGTGGTTTTCCTTGGTACATGATTTTTTACTTTTAGTGCAGAACGCATGCATTCCCTGCCGTTGGGTGATCCTAGGAGGCTGGCTCCTGTACCCCTCGTTCCACATTCCACTTTGGGTAAACCTTCAAATGCCAGTGACTGGTATCCAGCTGGCACTTCAAAATAAACATGGGTTTTGCTTTAGTGCCAAATATACCACCCTCTGTATTCTGACAGGAGGTGGCAGTTCCTAATACAAGCTGTGTTGAGAGCCAATGCAGGTGGATTGTAAGTGGTAAGCTGTAGGTGCAACCTCCTGTTGCTTAAAAGTACCCTCCGTTGCTGAACGCCGTTCAGAATTGCCCTCAACCCACAAAGAGGCAAAGTGCGGGCGACCATTGGGGCTCTCTAAGCCCCCATCTGCAAAGGGGGCACTTCGATGATCCTGATCCACAGAATTTGGGAAGGGAGCCTACGGGGTTATCTGGTCTTGCTGCTTGCCCAGATAGAGGATCGTCTGCTTGCTGCTAAGTCTTCTCAGCTGCTCAGTGAAAGCAGGA